TAATAATAATTACAAAATCACTGAACTGAAATACTACTGTGCTTAAATTAATTAAAAGTTGGAAAATATGAAGTTAGACAATATTCGAAAATAATCATTGAAATAATTGTTAACACAACAATAAAATACATCATAATCATAATATTGTTATTAATATAGTTAAATTTTTGTTTTTCGGTAGAGTATTCAATTCTAATGGATTTACAATATATTTTTCTTTTTTTTCATCATATATTATAATTTGATATAGCATTATAGGTTGAAGTGTTTTATTCCACCTTTCTCTGAACTCTTAAAATTGGATATCTATAAGACATCCATAGTCCTGTAGAGTTTCTATTTTTCTTACAATTATTTTTTTGAGGGGAATGTATAATTATTATAATTTCCAAATTACACAGAATGTGCTCACCTTGCAAGAGCGTATCTTTCTTATTTATATACAATATACTTTCAAATTTGAGTGTATGACGAATGTATTTGTCTGATTCGAATATGATTTTACAAAATTATAAATAAATTAACTCATTAGAACTATTATTGAAAAAATGTACTTTATGCAAAAATGAATTATTTTTTCACTGGTTGTTGTAATTAATAATTTGGAGTTATGTCAAGTTCATGCTAGAAAAAAATTAGGTAGGTACTTTTGAACATTGAATTCAATCAATAACTATCAATAAAATAAATTTTTAAATAAATTGAGATATTTTGTACTGACATGTTTGTATTTCTCATCTCAACTGTATAACACACATGCCCCACACTCACCAAAATCAAAAAATATCAAACTTATAATGCAAGATGGTGTTTGCTCACTGACGTATCAGCTGGCATTGTTATTTTATCTTTTTTTCAACTCTCAGACTACGCCTAATACAAAATTATTGGTACATATCCAACTAATAATAATATATCACTGAGAGCCCGTAGCTGGGTAAACGTAAAACAATAATAAAATCAGTCGAATGAATTAGAAATAAAACTTAAAGAAATGAATAAATAATATTAATTTTACCTGTGTAAAAATAACGTTATACTTCGCTTTACTCATAATTATAATAAGCCACTTATTATATTTGATAAGCTTATTTTTATTCAAAGTACCAGTGTAGGTGTAAACAGAGCGAACTAAAACTGTTTTTAATTGTTTTCGAATAGATACAATTAAATTACTATTTTTTAAACTTTTATGAACAATCTGATACATATATTAATTAGCATTAGTTATGAATGCATACTATTATATGCTTATAAAACTAGAAGTTAGAATTTTACATAACTTACTAAACAAATGTATGTTTGTTTTATTTATTCGATAAGAATAGTTATGAAGGTAAGCCTTTTTTAATATCAAAACTAAGTATTAAGTAGCAGTAAGGTTCCTAGTCAGCTTATTAAAAAAAAAAGAAATATTTTATAACATTTTAATTATTATAATAAATATATTAGCATATCTTGTATTTTTATGATTGCTTCTTTCAATAACTTTTTTGTTTTATTTAAGATTCTGAACGAACGATGAAAGTATTGATTTTACAATGAAGTGTGTTTTTGTGTGTGTGTGTCTGTATACACGATAAGTATTAGAATTAATGCTTCAATTTTGATTGTTATTTCTGATAGAAAATTGAATCTAGTTGGTAATTTTGAGAGCTCAAAATCGAAAATTTCCAGTATTTATAGAAATAATGGGTAAGACCAAAAATAATAATATTAAGAAAAAACCAGAATTTTTATGCAAAACTAATTTTTGATGCAATCGATTTTGTTTTTTTTTGTGTCATTCAAAAACTTATAACAGTATTTGACATTTTCAATAAATATTTATATTATATTAATTTTACACAACATTTAAAAAATATTTTGTCGTTTTTTTTTCTCTATACATGTCGATAAAAATATTTTGCTTGGTCAAAAAATTTAAAATTAAAGATTACTCATAAGTCATAACTCATAAGTTATTCATGTACTGATTAAAAAATGACAAAAATACAATCAGTAATTTTTGAAATTTTAGATGCGTATTTTAAATTTGGATGAAATTTTACATTTATATAACGAAGAACATCGAATCATTTTTCGGATACATTTATTTATCATAAAATTACAATTTAAGATATCACAATTACAGAACTATACTGAATTCTATAATACCAAAAAATACTCAATACCAGTAGCTATATACTTTCCCGTTTCTAATTTTTATAAAACTGTTGACATTGACTGCAGAAAATAAAATAGTTATTATGATTGGACATATATTTATTTTAGACTAGTATTTGATGAAAACAGTCAAAAATCTGTGCAGCTTACATTTAACGGAGCTTAACAAGTGGTTAATCCACGTGCATTAACTTGTCGTGAGCAGTGATGTGCAAGATCAGCTAGTTGAATATCAAACAAAAAACAAATTATATAACACAACAAAAACTTTTTTTTGTGCAAATCAATACAGTATCCATCTTGTAATACCTAATTTTTATGTTTACAAACATTAAGATATTATAAACAGTGCAATATTATATTGTATGCTACTGTCTTTCAGACCATGTTTTTATATTATTATCCAGTAAAACAGGTGCGGACGAATTTCGTCTGACTGGTGCAGTAATAACGAACGGCGTATACGTTCAACCGCGGTTACCGGGCTCGTTCCATCACTGCGACTTGTAAAGCGGTGTCCAAACGGGCCTGTGCTGTCACGTAAGGTTTCGTAGGGCTGGTATAGGCTCGGTCGAAACCTGCATCGGGATGGATTAGATTTTGGATTCACCAGATTGCATCGCATTGTCTGACGGAGAACTGGGAAGTTTCCTCGGTGGACCTGTCAACGTCGACAGGGCAATTTTTTTGGCTCTGAATGAGATGGACGACGTCTTAATCTACATTTCTGCAGGCCTCGTCAGGAACTGATCCAGACCACAGATCTTTGGGGGTGAGTAAAACAATTTTGTTGCATCACAAGTATAATATATACATGCTATGGTACATTGACTAAATTAAAAATATTATAGGAAAATTTCGAAAACTATTTGACCTACAAAGCTGGAATTCGGCAGGTAAGTAGTCTATAGATATAAAATGCCTGCTAAGAACGGGTTTTGTGAAATTCATCCACTAAAGAGGAAAATAATAGGTTGCAGGAATTCAACATTGGCGCCATCTGTCCAGTTATATAAAATTCAAATTACAAAATAAATTTGATGTGATTTCGTGTTTATTTTTCTGTATATAAAACAATGTGCATTTCATTGGTATTTAAAAAATTAGTGAGAACCATACTGTTGGTTGCGTACCAATGATATTTGACCAATTTCGGCTATAAGTACTACCAACATATTACTGTGTGAAAAATCTTTAATGTCGATTATGATGGGAACGATGGGGTAAATCCGCCCTTGGTTATTGGTTATGATTATTATTTTTTTTTATTGAGCTAATTCATTGGCAACTATGGCCGTTAGCATTTTATAGGGGGGTTACGATTGGTTACTTCAAAACACGTGTGCATGTGAGGCTAGGATTCGTCGGTAACCCATCCGGGAGCTAGTGACGCTAGGACTAGAGCTAGAGCTAGAGGCTAGAAGTCTCTATTTGATTATTATTATTGTTAATCTGGGTATTTTTATACTTTTAATTTTTTTTAAATTAATTTAATTATGTATGATATCTGTATTGTAGAATAAGGTTCCACAACTTTTAATATTGCACACAAACATAACAAATCATAAGTTTTATGAAGATCAAATACAGCAATTCTCTGAAAATCTAAAATAATCTCTGACCTATCACAGAATATAATTAATATAGTTTTATAATTTGTAGAATATTTAAATAATTATGACAACTACCTATATCCACGTTGTAATATTTTCAAAAAAATATACAAGGCGTTGCAGTTTTTTAAAAAGTAGGAATTATTTTTTTATCGTTTGATTTATAATGCAAGGCATGGAAATTAAGAATTTAAAATTTAATACGATGGTTGTCCTTGTTGTATATTTTTTATCCCTTTAAATATCCTTGAAATCTCCCAACTTATTGTTATTTTTTTTTAAATGATAAAATAAAATGCGACTTGTGCATCACAAAATCAATTTTGTTCGGAATGAATATTTGATTTTTAAATAAATAAATCTGTACTTCAATTTTAAATTTAAAAACGTTTTATGTTCAGTTTCATTCGTGTAATCATTTAGAACATATTCTCACATAGTCAGGTACACAGATTTGTTTTTATTTTAAATTCATAAAAATATAAAATTATTATTTGTACACGGGTATAAAATAAAATATAGAGGTAAAAGATCAAAAATATATTGATACAACTCTTAATGAAAAAACGTTTTGTAAATACGATTAGGACGAAAAAAGCATCGATGCGTGCTGTTGTACACACGTATATTATAATTATACCTACCGGTGTCGAGGGAGCAGGGGTCTTATCGGCAGTGGGTGCAATATGGGCCGTCGTCGTCGTCAACACGAGTTTGGTGTTTATTCTTATCGGAGAATTAACCGAAATATAAGCACCCAGCAGATGTTACGTAAGTCGGACGAGGGGTTGAATGGGTGCAGGCGACACCGAGTAAAGTGCGGCAGTCAACCAAGTGATTGTATAATAAATATACTCACATTTTTATCCAAACAGCTACAACAGCTAGTTGCAAGTTGTCTACGAGTACGTACCGAAAATCGTACCAGAAATTTTAAACAACGATACGTTCAAAAGCGAATTAAAATTATAACAATATTATTAATTCAAGTAGAATTTGTTTTTCGTAGTGCGTAATGCGTATTTATTGCAATAAATATTTGTTGAGTATTTATATCAAATTATAATACCCAGCAACTCGCATGGTCTCAACGAAAACGTTAGAAATTTGAAATATCTACTAATAGTTGTAAATATATTTATTTAGTTTTTTTGTAAAAGACATGCGCCGGATGCAAACGTTTTGGCGTCCGAACCGCGACAGATTTTGAATTTAGTACGCCGTCTGCTCTTCCACGGTTAAACACGTGTATCGTCGTTCAGCCGTCCCGCGTTATTTCGATCGCGTGCGATATTCTCATTTATTATTTCAATAAACAACTATTTAGGAAAAACACTTTAATAATAAATGGCTTAAACGTACTTTTTTTTTTCGTTCGGTTTGTGCATTAAGACTTCAAATCTTTGGATTACAATTCGTATGGTCGAGGTAAAAATATTTTTACATTTCTTAAGTGTTCCATAAAATGTGTCAAGTTCTAGAGCTAAATTTTATAATTTAAAAAATATTAAACTCGTTCTTTTGTAAATATTGTCTGTAATTTTAATGTGACGTGTGTGTGTATATGTTTTTTCTTTTTATATTTTTGTGCCTATCATGTACTCATATTATTGGAGCTCTTTGAAAGTGATGGTTTCTGGTGGCAAATTTGATCTGGTTAGTACTTTGTGTATGTGTGTGTGGAGGGGGGGGGAGATAGGAGCGTTGTTTTTGTTGTTGTAATAATAGTGCTTAACTTAGCAAATATTCATATTAGTCAGTAGCACACATAAGATTTTTGGGAGGGGTCGTGTTAATAATTATTTCATAAAAATGACAAAATGATATATTAATGATGATATACAGATGATGAAAAGGATTTTTTTTAAATACATTTTTTTATTAGAATTTACTAGAAACTATATGATAATTTTCAAAATATATAGGCTCGGATTGTGATATTTATAAACATCTGAAATTTAAAACTTTTTTAGATTTTATTTGATTAAGGTAAGTTGAATTTTTTGTTTTTGAATAAAAAAGTTAAAAAATTTAATACAATTAAACGAGTTCCCTTATCGATTATTGTTTTCATAAAAATTCAAATGATAAAATTGGATATTCAAGTGAAAAACATTTTTAGTAGATCAATTCAAAAACAATATTCGTAAGGACATGCATTTTTCACCAATGTATGAATTATATTATACCTAAATATACGTATTATCAATAACTATATACTTACAAAATGAAAGTTTTGTAAAAAGTTGATTAGCTTTAAGCTGTTTGTACCATGTTTGTTCTTATTCACACTGGTCTACAGTACGTCAGTGTTGACTTTAGTTGATAAAAACTAGTATAGTAATTAATTAAATAATGTAAGAACTATTATTATTTAACGAGTGTGATTTTTATTGCTAAAAATTAATTGAACCTACCATATTACCTACTTATAGCAATATAAATAACAAAACGGCCATAAAACTAAAGACTAACAGACCATATCCGCTCTGAACCGTCTTTAATTGTATACAATGATTTATCATTGAATTCAAATATAAAACATAATGTTATACATTAGGTATAGTGACTTACTCGACGATTTAGTCTACTCGATACTTACTTTATACAGCAGAGCTAGTTTAGTTACTGATATTTTTAAATTAACATTCTAAAACCTATATCCATATCTCAATAAGTTTTATGGACAGTAAAATAAAAATAAATCAAATTATCAAATGCAATAATAGTAATGATGTACAACTAAATATTACTTATATAATTATTATGATTTATTGAGAAAAAGCATCTCTGTTGTTATTCCTCAATAAAACTAAAAAAATATAATAGATTCATTTGAAATATTATATTCGTTTAACATGTATAAATATAATTATGGATCAAAGGATAAATGTTGACATTTGGTTATCTTTTATTTCTTTATGATCTGGGTGGTATTTTAATACAATTTTAAAGTAATTATAAATTATCCTGGTATTCAAACGATTTTCAGAGATTTTGAGATATTTGGTCATTAGAAAATTTCAAGTAGGTATTCATAAAAATAATGTGTAACTATTTAGGTTTAATGGATGGAATATTATAGTATGATGATGAACGAGAAATATAATTACAATAACATAAGAAATCATAACAAAACCATAACAATTTTACGATTCATGCATTAAGTTAAAATAAATATGGGTATTATAAATTATACAAAATATACTAAGTTTAATAGGTTTATCAAATTATGTATTCTTAATAAAATAAGACTTTGATTTACCTCACATATTATTAAAAAATATAATTTTTTCATCGAATAAATTGTATAATTAAATTAATATGATGTAGTTTTATTACACTAATGTTACTAATATTGTGACGGAATTTCAACTTTTAATGTTGTACATAACAATTTAATAATTTAGCAAAATATTAAATCGTTTGAAAATGTTCAAACTAAATTTGTCATATTGTGAACTTTTATTAAACAATGTACATTGTACAACATAAACATTTTTGAGCACTTTTGTTCTTTTTTTAATTGGGGAAAAACAAGAATTTTTACGCAACGTCAGTTTTCGACAAAATCAATTTTGTTTTTTGTTGTTATTCGAAAAATGAATAAATGAAAAGACTAGCATTTTTTGACAAACTATTTATAGTAGCCTTTTATAGACATGAATGACACGATAACATTTTCAAAATATTTCGGATCTTTTTGTGATAGGTAGCCATTTTAGGCATTTTAAAATTTTGTTTTTTTTTTTTGGATTATTTATGATTATATTTTTTTATGAGTAAAAAGCTAGAACATTAATAACATAAGGTTCGATAACAGTTTTTTTTGTTTACTGAAAATTGAAAACGAAGAATCTTAATAAAACATTAAGCCATTTAACCAGAAGTTATAATGTCAACGATATTCGATATTCAAACGTATAGTAGCACTGTTTCATCCTCAAATGAGTTTTATTATTTTTGTTACTTTCCTAAAAATATTCATGTTCTAATCTTGAAACAATATTTTCACAATTAATCAAATTATCATTTTCTATACCCGAATTGCAATTATAATTACGTTTACGTATCCATAATTTGCAAATATTTTCAAGCATTTGAGATATCTAATTTACTAGTTTTTTTTCTATAAATGCTGATAAAAATGATATTCTAGGTAAAAAATCATGACAATTTGAAACAAGATAGTTCAAAGGTTTTTCTAATTGCAACCTTAATATCTAAAAAAGAAAAAAAAATATGCTTCAAATGTAGACTAAATAGAAAAAATAATATTCGTGAAGACTTGAATCTTTTTGCTGCTGCGTATATTATTATGATTATTTTCTCTAAAGAATATACAATACAATTTTCAAAATGTTAAGATTAGTTTAAAATGTTTATACCACGACCCTATCTTCACTTAACTTATACGTTTAACAGATTGTAATACAATATTATTAAATACAGTTTTATATTTTCTAATAATATATTATGGAGCAAAATATGTAATTGATTTTTGACAAAAAATAGTTTTATCCACATATTTTATCAATAATAGAAAATAGTTTGTTATCATAGCAACATAAATATTATATCATAAAATATCTTTGGGTATGTAGGTGAAGTAACAAACCGTTTCATCTCAGAATCGCTTTTCGTATGCAATTACTTTTTATTATTGAATTGTGTATTTGAATTCGTATTTAACACATCCGTTATTACAGTAGCCTGTTCAATGATGTGACAACAGAGCACCTTTAAATTTTAATATCGAATGTTTAGAACACAACCAAAAAAGATATCGTGAGAATTGAGAAATGTATGTAGTGGTCCGTGGGATATTTAAGTGGGTTGCTTAGAATTGGAAAACAATTGTCAATTATTCAACTGGAAAATGGATCAGTGATTAGCTTTTGAATATAACCTATTTCTAGTTTTAAATGAACTGAAGTGCAGTAAAAAATTGAAAGACGTACACGAAATGTTTTGTAATAAAAAGTCGCTTCAATGTGAAGCAGAAGTCAGTCCTCGCATCAATCAGCATCGAAATATATATATAGTTTTTTCATTCTGACAAGAAGATAATATTATTATACTTCACCGAACTAGTTTATTCATATATTTTATATATTTTGATTTATGATAGGAAAACAGGCATAAAAATACAATTATGACAACAAATACATTTTATTTTCAATAAATGGTAAATTCAATATTTGTACAATATAAATTATTATTTGCTCAGATAAAATAATAACCGATGCAGTGATGCGTGGGTATAAAAATACTGGTTGTTAATTTCCTTAGGATAGAATAACCACCAACTTGTTTTGCTCTTTGGGGTACTTATAAGATCTGACTAATTAGAGTGTAGTTAAAAAATATTGCAAACAAAACATTTTTTAAAAAATATATTATAGATATAATAATAAAAAAGTTCCTTCTTGAAAATCTATCGAAGAATGTGTTTCTTATTATTTTACTATTGATTATAATAATCTAATATATTATAAATATCTCAAGATGCTCGCTCGAGAAATGTACGAAAAATGTGTTATGTGTCTGTTGATTTGTTAGTATAACATATTATTGATGCACTAGATGAGTGAAACATAATATAACCTTTCATTTGTAACACGACCTCCAAAAAAGTTACTTTTTGCTGAAGCGACCACCTAACAGCACGTATTTTCATTTTACAAAACATACCCAGTAAGTTGAAATACAAAATACTATATTACTCTTGCTTACATAATTATAGATGATTTTAGAAAAAGCTTACAGAAAGGCAAAACATTTAAAGCAAGCAAAAAACAAGGCTGCTCTTGATAAATGTAGAAATATTGAAGATTTGTTTAAAGCTAAACCACAAAGTAATAATTGTTAAATTGTTTATTACATTATTTTATAGCTTGAAGTTTAAAAAATATGATGAAATTATTTATTTTTATAAAGTAAATTTTTATTTTCTAAGATAATCAGATTAACTCATCAGTAGTCTTAATGCCAATTGTATCGATAAACACTGAGGAAAACACTAAGTATAACCAACAAACATTAGCAGACGTTTTTTTTAATTGATTAAACCTTTTGAAATTGTATACTGTTAAGCCCTAGGATAGTCTAAACTATGAGGTTGTAATGAGTAGCGACCAGAAGGGGAGGGGAATAAAGTAATTTCACAATATATTCTAAATGCGCCTCTGATGCACATACTTCATCTTGGTCAAACCAATACATTCATCTCTTCGCTAGCATCTAAATAATGAATATTTAATTTAACGTAATGAATAACAAACAAAAATAGTTATATAGGTATGTCGTAGGGTGGTACCTATATAGTAAATGCACGAAAGGTTTTTTTCTTAAGATGAAGATGAAATATTGAAGCGATTAAAATGATTAGGTAACGAAAAAGATAAAAACTTTTTTATATGCTGTTATAAAAATAACTTAGTAAGAAAAAGGAATTTCTTGTTTTTGTCCCAACATAAACTTCTTAAGATTCCCTCCCCCCTCCACAAAAAAAGTATGCTTTATAAAATGCTTGTTTGGTCGTAAGTTTTACTGTAGAACTATTATAATGTCACTTCAGATAAATACATATTACATTTTACGTAGGTACTATCGGGTGGATACTCCATATTCGAGGATTCTACTGATTTATTTAAACTCAGAAGACTATACACACTGTAGTTACGCAACTTAGTTAGTTCATTGAATTTAAATCAAATCAACATGGTTTTATACTAACAATAAACACATAACATGTAGCGTCATACAGGGTGATAATATTATTAATACAGAACACTCATTGCCTGGTCGTCATGTGTTTTATAAGTTTTATTACATTTCAACAGAGGATGGAATATAAAAGGTTATTGTAATAATAGGTACCCACATCGTGTCGTTAAATTCCTTGAAGAAATTAAGAAGGCAGTAAAAGGCGAGTGATATTTTGATAGATGATAGGTATAATATCAGAATCAGTGGCTTAAAAAACCGTGTCCATGTACCTTCGATATTTTCATCCAATAATTGAGTTGCAGACTTCACTTTTATGAAATATTATATATTGTATATAATATAATATTTAATATACTTTATACTCTGGAGACTATCAGGGTACGACATTGTGTGATTGACAAACAAATGCATCCAAATAATCATAATATTATATATTATTGCTAAGTTAATTTTATAATAGTACTTTGAATTAATTATTATATCTACTAGAATACTCATCAGAGTCTACCAAGCAACCTTGTTTATGTACCTACTGATTGACAAACAAATGCATTTAGATTTTAGATTCAATCAAATACCATCTATTACTTAAACATCTTATATAATATTACTATTCTAATATTCCATTATATTTCTATCCAAAATAATTTATTACCTGTTAAATGATGATAATGTTACATAGTAACTATATAATGTTATAATAAATATTGAAAACGATGCTTAAATCGCATGGTTAGTTATGTATTATGCTAACCCAGATGGTACTTGGATTTTAGAGCTTCAAAATAAATATAGACGGATAGTAAAAGGTCTGATGAGGGAATATAACATAACAAGGCTTGTTGAAGTGTATTTGGTTAATAGTACAAGACGTTTGAATAACCCAATCACCTACCTAATATAAGCTTGAGTGCTCGTTTGAATACCAAAAATATATCGTACCCAGTGCATTGTGCATGATATATTAGCGTAGACGGTGTGTCTTGAGATTTTAACCGAGAAACACCGCTTGAGAGTAACTTTCGTTTAACCCTTATATTATTATAGGATTATAAATTGCAGTACGTCATCCCATCTACTTTTGATTAGCATCGGCTGAACGAAACGCCGACGAAAAGCGATATGCACCCGTACGTTTATGTATGACGACGGTGTAACGTAAACATTTCCAGAAGAGTATAAAAGACATATGCGTCGTTTTGTGTGTGTTGGAGCGTTCGTTCATAATAATAATTATAATATACTTGTCTATGGACGGAGTTTACGGTATTACACGTCATAGACCATAGTGTTATTGTACAGCGACATTCAACACCCTAAAATGGTCACATCGCAGTTAACTGTTGTGTGTTTTTATTTCAATATATGATTATTGAGACAAATCATTACATATTACTAGCTGATTTTTAGCCATTCTCAAACTCCGTGGGGTACTCAGGTAGAATTCAAACACAGTTATTATTGGATAGTTTTGACCAACTAATATAAAATATTTTATCCAATCATGATAAATATTTTATTTTCCGTAACCAATGGCAACGATAATAAAAAAATAAAAATAAATAGTTTTTGGAGAGTCAACAAACTGTGTTCAACATTTATGAGTTGAAAAGTAAAGATGTAGTAAGTAATAAAAATGATATCATATATGATACACTACGGAACATTTTATGGAAATCGGTCGAAAACTGTGGATTTAAATTGGGATCATCGTTTTTGGCATTCGATTTTTTATAATATCTTTATTATATTTAATTATTATAGCTAATCCTGCACGGTGTTGTCCGTGACAAATTAAATAATTCCAATGGATTTAAAACCGTCTAAGCCCCGTATTGAATGTAAATCGCACAGATTTTTAAACACATTAATTTGGGCAATTTTGAGTTTTGACCCCTGAAACTTTGGTTTTACATAATATTATCCATATTAATTTCGAAAAATAGTGAGAAATCATATATTTGAATGCAATGATAAATTATGGTATTCGAAAAACAACTTTGAGCAGAACTTGGTAGTTGGTCAACTACTATAACGATCATAAGCGTGATCACACATTTTTGGGAGAATAGTCATACATCACATATTAACACACATTCATACGTTTGTATATTCTTATTCACACCTATGTTGTTGTAATTTGTATGGGGTAAACTCATGTAACTACATTTAACATACTAAAAAAGTAATAAACAAAAATAAAATGATTAATTATTATGATGCTATTGAATATTGAAGGAAGAGGGCAAGGGAGAGGAAGAGTTGCAGAGTAGTCAAGTTCCCACCATGACTACCCTGTGTCTACGATTATTATGATAACGATAAAGCGTTTATTATACCAATAAAATGTTCAACGCTTAGAATGACTGTAGTTTTAATTGTATATACGAGTAAAATTTAAATAAAATGTCGTAGGGTGTAATGTGTACACCTAAAACTACAAAATATTAATTTTAAAAAATTTAAAAATAGATGTAATGCTATTTTAAAATGTCTATGCAATTCCAACTTAAAAGTTAAAACCGCTATGAATATGATTAAATTTGATTTATATTTTTCAGTTATTGTCGTAATAACTTGTATAGTTTACCTGATATTAAAAAGTTTAATTTGGGAAATACAAACTGCATGGGCTGATCTGAAAGTTGATAGTACATAATTATGTCCATTTTCCACAGACGTACATTATATTGTATTATATGTCTGTGATTGTATCATTCAATTCCTGGGAATAAAATTTTAAATCACATTTTATGTATGAATATTTTGTTCTTATATATAGTTTTATTTTAATATTTTCTATGTATGATATTTAATTTTTTCATTCATTCGTGGAAGTCGTTCGAGGTACTTACTTTTCTTATTTTTTATGTGATACTAAAAAAATAAAAGAATTTCGCAAAAATGAAAAAATACAGATACCAGTGAGCTGAGAATAAAATTAATTCTGAGTAAAGCTAACTGTTATACTATGTACTAATATAACTTCGGGATATTGGTTCTTTAAATAAATCGTTCCTGACCTCATGGAGATGAATATTACATTTCAGTTTGATGCCAACTTGGAACTGTCAGTACCTAATCATTCTTTCAATTACTCGTGGATTTCAACTTTCTTTTGTGATTTTGTCGATATTTAGTTATTTAATATTTTACGTTCTTATAATTACTTCTTCAAATTCAATTATGTAGTACTATCAAAGTTTAGATGAGTTTTAAATCAAGTTTTTGTCAAGGTTATTTTTTGAATATTATGTATAAAGTCATACGTCATATACAATTCTCTTTTAAAGTAGGTACTATTTAAATGTCTACTAATGCATTTTTACAATAAACCACCTCTTTTCGTCTAGGTACCTATTTAAACTTAGTGATATCGCAAATAAATTTTTATTCATTAATTTTAAAAAGGAATGCAGATCTTCTTCAATGTGTACAATATTAAATTCTACTATTTGTATCTATTTAAAACACAATTATAATATAATAAAAAATAGGGAGAGAGAGAGAAAATCTAGACAGAGATACTTACAGGTGTAGTGGTCGAAATTGTAGTACAGGGTAGTATGGTGAAATTCTTATAATATACGATATTAAGAATGTCGTATATATGGAAGGCTGATGACCTCACGAATATCGTCACTGAAATTGGGTCCTTCTGGGAAGAGTTGGTCTAGCGATCCCTGGAACTAGGAGGTGTATCTCAGTTAACTAATACGTATTTACGTAATATGAAACGAGGGATAGGGCTATACACATGGGTGTTCATGAGTTTGTGTTACCAAAGGTCGTTCTAACACAATTATTCTTTTAATTGTTTTCAAAGCGGGCGTATTATAATTATACTGCTATATTATGTTCACTTACCTTATTCGCAGTGTATGTTGCTCTGTGGTACTTATGGTGTGTATTAGTTTCTGTTCTCTGAGGGCGATGTTCGATACTAAATATCACAGCGACAATATACTATATATTTTGATTCATATGATTGTTCACAGACAATTAATAATGGTTTTTTCCAGAGCCTTATGGGGTTATTGAGATATGAATTACTCAATTTTGTTTATTGTAATTGTGATTATTATCTTGTGCTCTTAAAAGTCCTCACATCCGTAGTGATCAGACATGGTCAATCTGCCGATCAAGTATAATAATGTCAATAGGTACCTTAAATTAATTGAGCTTCTAAAATTATGATTATGTTCTAAAAAAATAATAGTAGTAGGTAATGTATTTATACTTATAGCTAAGAATAATCTTACAATTAATATATGATAATGTTATAACATAATTATGTTATAATACGATGATAGTTACAGGATTTTATATTGTGTGGGCGAATATAATAGGGAGATAAGATGAATGAAAAGAATAACGATATGATTCAAGTTAATAATAATAAATAATTGACGGAATCGGTTACCGAATGCTTAGGTATTTCGATATACATATATACGGC